CTCTTAAATCTATCATCTTTTTCCTGTTTCTTGTTTATAGCTTCTTTGCGACGTCGTTTTCAGCTTATTTAGCACCCATTGCAGTTGATTTTGATACTAGGTTGTACACAATGTCAATTTACATTAAAACCCCTCCTCAGCCCACAAATTTACTTTTTGATCTTGGTGCTTCTTTCAGCTGGGTCGACTGTACCCATAACTACAATTCCTTTACGTATAGGGCCATTCCGTGCAGTTCCTCTCTTTGCAATTCGCTCGGTTCACATGCATGTTCCAACTGCTTCAGTTTGCCAGGTCCGGGTTGTTCCAACGACTCGTGCGTACTCTTCCCTAAAAACTCAGTGACTCAGAGATCAGCAATGGCGAATGCACTGACTGATTGGCTTTCTCTACCCCACACCGATGGACGTAACCCGGGACAACTCGGTGCTATCCCCGAGTTCATATTCTCATGTTCCAAAAAGAAGTCTTTACTTAAAGGCCTCGTTAAAGGGGTGACCGGCGTAGCCGGTCTGGACCGGTCTAACTTTTCTCTCTCAACCCAGATTAGCAACACCGTCTCTTCTCCTAACTTATTTGCACTTTGCCTGTCCGGTTCACCCTCAGCTCCGGGTTTGGTATTCTTGGGTACTAGTGGACCGTACTATTTTTATCCCCAAATTGACCTTTCAAAATATCTTATTTACACTCCACTCCTGTCTAATCCGTTGAGAAGCTCTCTAGAAATTTACCGGTACCCCTCCGCTGAGTATTTCATTGGTTTGACTTCCATAAAAGTCAATGGAAAAGTTGTACAATTTGATCATACGCTTCTCAATATCGATGCAAATGGCTTTGGTGGGACCAAGCTGAGTACCGTAACTCCATACACTATGCTACATTCTATCATTTTAAAGGCTTTCACCAAGGAGTTTGTAAATGAATCAGCTGCGCTCAATCTCACCATAACAGAACCAGTAAAGCCGTTCAATGTGTGTTATGATGCAGACGATGTTCGTGACACACGTTTAGGACCAGCTGTTGCAACAATTGATTTTGTTATGCAAAGTGATGATGTGTTCTGGAGAATCTTTGGATCAAATTCGATGGTCAGGATTGTGCGTGAAGGAATCGACGTGTGGTGTCTTGGGTTTTTGGATGGTGGGGCCAACATGAAGACTGCGGTCGTGATTGGAGGGCACCAAATGGAGGACAATTTGCTGCAGTTTGATCTAAACAACAATAGACTAGGATTTAGTTCTTCAGTTTTAGCACATGGTACAATGTGTGCCAACTTCAATTTTACAACAAATAATGTCTTAGGATGAGCAATTGCAATCTTCTTGGACAATGTTAAG